TCTTTTCCAGGTCCTGTTGACACCTTTATATTCATTTCTCTCTTTCCTGTGGAGAAGGAAGCATCTATGGGGAATATATACCTTGAAGTATGTTATGGTGGTTTTTCCCTTAACAGGAAAAGCTGCATGGTTTCTCTTAAGGAAAGAAGTTGCTAATACATTGCTTTTTGAACACCGCGTAGATGAGCTGTGAATGTGCCTCACTAATTATTTGTTAACAGACTTGCAAAGTCAGGTTCTGGCAGTGAAGTACTGGGCAGCTCCAGTGCTGTTGTTAATGTTGGTGAAATTTTATTAAGCAAAAACTAATAAGACACAAATTAGTATGTGAGTCCAAAGGTTGGCTTAATAAAGTTGGTGTCACCAGAAAAAAAAACTCCTCTTGTCTATCTTTAGCCCATCATGGCTTTAAGAACACTGTCACAGTTAAAAAGCAGATAAATGGGAATTTTTCTCTAACCCTGATGGGTCTTGTAGTTTTGTTTTAGAACATTAAACCTGATAAATGTGTATGTATTTGGCTACGAAGGACAGGTTTTGACAAAGTCAAATCCAAGCTGGCATCCTGCAGCCATCTACAGGAACACATAAAATCCATGGGGTGACTGCTGAGTCTTGTCACCATTGTGGGCTCGATGCCTGTTCCTCAATTAAGGAGTAAAATTTAATTTAAAGAGCAATTTAATGTTCAAAAGAGTAATCACAGCTGCTCAGCACTGTGAGGCTTAGGCGTGGGTGTTCTGTGGAGGTCTTGGAGCTGCTGTGGAGTTGGCCAGATCCAGGTTTGGCAGGGACAGGGTGTTGTGCAGTGGGGAGTGGAAGGCAGCCAGGGCCTGGCAGGCAGTGGGCATTCTGGGGAGAGGAAAAGATTAATCCAGGGAGAAGGAGGTGTAGAGGCCCTGGAGCAGTGTGGGATCAGGCAACTCTGTTGTGCTGTTTGGCCTTTAATGAATCCTTCTGGATTAGAGGGAGGATGGTGCAGAACCTGCCCAAGAGCTCTGCAGTGCTGGCAGGTGAGTCAGCATTGGTCAGTCTTCTGTCCCAGGTCTGCCCAGCTTCTCCCTGAGCAGCAGATGGATAATTTGGAAAGCATAGGAAGGACAAAAGGAAAATAAACCACTTGTGAAACTGAATCATTAGTCAAACGCTTCAGCCCTTATTTAAATGAGCAGTTGCACTGGAGTCACCAGGACATTAATACCCAGGCCAAGGCCAACCCTCTGAAAAGTGATTTGAAATCTCAGATCATCTCACACCCTAATGGGACTGCTCTTCCAGTAAGATGTGTGTGCTCTTACTGGCTCTCTGAAGGAAGAGAGGTGCCTTCATGGATCCTGTAACTACTGGAGAAAGGAGAAATGAGACAGTTTTTATTGTTATTCCATAGTGGCACAGGTAGAAGGGTCTGGAAGTTGTACAGAGATAAAAAGACAAGTGTCAGGGACCAATCTCATTTGTTACAATAGGTGTTTTCCAGAGCATCTTTGGGAGGATGCAAATTACTGTATTTTCCCACATTATTCAGTAACCTTGCTACCTTAGCTACAGGTGAGGGAGGATATTGGAGATTTTTATCTTCTGAAGCAGAGCTAAAGCGGGGGGAAAATGAGATGCCTGGTTCAGTGGATTAAATGTCTGAAGATATCTCTTAATCTGGAAAGGACTTGTACTTTGTGCAGCAAACTTTGCTCTTGTGTTCTGTAAGCACTGTCACTGTGATGTCTGGAGCACTGCTGCTCCCTAGAGTCAGGAAAAAACCTTACAGCTGTCAAGCAGGAACCAGCCATGGCACACAGGTTTCTTGCCTCTTGTGTTCAGTGAAAGGATGTTTTGTATTGATAAGAATGTGCTACATGGCTGGGACTGCAATATTTGCATTGTAATACTTAGAGATTCTCGGCTTACAAAATGCTAATCTTACATCCATTATCATCACATGAAAAGATGAAAGCAGCTTTAGTCTGGTCTCTCTTATGTAAATAGAGCCCCCAGAGGAGCAAACTCTATTGGAACCAGAAAATAATTAAGTTAGGTTCTCAATCAAGAAAGAATTTTGCTTTATAAAAGCAGATAATAACGAATGCAAAGACTTATTTAACAAAAAGCAACTCTCACCATTTGGCAGCTCCTGTTTTAATCTGGTTTGTCATTTTCCTCCCTTGTGCAGAAAATGTAATGTTCCTTGTTTGTACACATGACCTTTTGTTCCTTTAACGAGTCAGAAGTCTTAATTTAGAACTACTGATGGCAATTAGGGGTGTGATGTTCTCAATTCAGGGGTGAGTAGCCTGAAAATGCAGGAGGCTGAAGGGCAGCATGACCAGAGCAGAGGTTTAAGCTCATCTCCACCTCTGACAAGCCCCAGTGCCAGAGCTCGGCCTGGGAAGCTGCTAAGGGAAGAAAAACTCTCCTAGAGAATTTCCCTACCTCTTTAATTTGCTGGCTCGTGCCCTTGGGCAGGACTTTTACCAGTGCTGGTCTCTGATCCTCACATCTGCATTCTTCTTATCCAAATCAATGTTCCTTCCCTTTCAGCTGGTCTTTGAAGGCATTTCTGTACTGTCTGACAGACTGGGGCTGCCTGATCCCTCTGGAACTGCCACAGGATGTTGGAACAGCTTATCAACAAAGGGGAGAGCCTTGCCAGAGGCAGCAAAACTGATGGACCACCAAATTCAAAGGAGCTGCAGAGCTCACTGAGGAGCCGGAATTCCTGGGATGTAAGAAGGGGTGCTGGAGGCTCCCAGCAGCCTTTCAGCTCTCAGGGGAGTACAGTTTGACAAGGTGCTGCAGCTCTGTGGCATAGCCCGTGACAGGGCAGCGCTGGTGAGCCTTCACATGGCTGTAGATGCAGCGGTAGCAGAACACGAAGCCGGACGTGGACAGGGCCGTGGCGTTCACGCGGATCTTGCGGCACAGAGGGCACACGGTCTTCAGTTTGGGCAGCAGAGCTGAGCTGGGCTCGTGGTCCAGGTGCACAGGAGGTGGAGGAGTTGGGAGAGCTGTCAGAGACTTGATGGTCTCCTGGTTCTCTGAGGAGTACCACCAGTCCAGGAACTGGAGGAAGAACACGCTGACGGACAGCCCGGTGGAGAGGGAGAAGGCGATGCCACCCAGAGCTTTTCTCAGTGCCAGCTGCACTCGTGATGTAAAGCTGTGGCAGAGAGAAGAGTATGGAGAGATGGTCACCACTGCACATTTATCCATCTAGAAACCGTGGAAAAAAGTACTTGGGAAGTCACTGCTTCCTACAGCTCCTTAATGCTGAGGAAGTTGATCAGCGTGTCCCATGTTTGTAGTGAGGCATGTGTTAGGATGTTTCTCTCAGATTCTTTGTATTTTAAGAAAGATCCAAATCCTCTTTCGTTCAGAAGTCTAAATTAAGAGAGTTTGGATTGAGGGGACTTGGACCACAAAGCATTTCACTCATGGCTGACCATTTTACAGAATATTGAGTGTGGTCATGACTAGCTGCTGCTCAGGAAAATCAAAGAGCTAAGCTTCAGTCCTTTTAGCAACATTGCTGCAGTCTAATTTCCTTGTTGGAAAAGTGCAGGTGAAGACTGGACAGGATAAAGGCTGGAATGCCCCAAAAGACCCCCCCAAACCCTGCAATGTCATTACCACAAGATGTTAAGCTAATCCCTGCTACTTGTTTCCTTACTTTCACTAACAATACTCCCTTTTGGAGCACGTTTTGCCATTCTTTGTATTGAAGAATTTCTGCTGCTTTGCAGCATCACCTCAAAATTAACACACCCAAGGAACCCCCTGGAGAGCAGCGGGTTCTGACATACCTGTGTGTCTGACTTGAGGTGGCTCCAGACAATTTCCTCTCCAGGGCCTGGATGTCCTCTGCAGTCAGCCTGACCAGGCGGACCCCAGCCAGCCTCAGCAAGGGGGAATGATGCTGAGCTTTCCCGAGGATGTAGCACAGCTGCTGGATAAGAAACCAGCCCTCCCAGGTCATGTTTACAAAGGGGTAGGCAGCTAGAAAGGCTCTGTAGAAGCGCTTCCAGGATGACGATGGAGGGTGGATGGAATACTCATCCTCCTCCCTCAGGCTGGACACCAGTTTCTCCAGCTTTCCTTTCAGGTAAGGAACAAGAACCAGCAGGAGCAGAGATTTCCAGTGCTGCCTCTTTGGCAGGCCAGCCGTGGCCAGGGCCTGCCGTGTGCCCTCTCCCATCGGGATCCTCTTCAAGCTATAGAAGTTCTCGGAGAAGGAGGCGCTGCACCTGGCCAGGTAGTGCTGCTGGAGCAGCAGATCCAGAAGGACGTAGATCTCATCAAACCAGTGCCACACAGAGCCATACCGGGCAGGATTGGACTCGGCAAGCACCTGTTGTGAAAGGGGACATAGAAGGAATCACAGAATGGTTTGGGTTGGAGGGGTTCAAAGACCATCCTGTTCCACCCCCTGCCCTGGGCAGGGACACCTTCCACTAGCCCAGGGTGCTCCAAGCCCCGTCCAACCTGGCCTTGGACACTTCCAGGGATGGGGCAGCCACAGCTCCTCTGGGCAACTTGTGGCAGGGCCTCACCACCCTCACCGGGAAGTTGCTGAAAGTGGAGTATTGTGCTAAGTTATAACTTACTACAGCTCTACACGACGCCTCCGGTTCGGGAGAGTCACAACTGCCCCACTGCCAGTGAGAGGAGCCCGACCCCGCTCCTGTGCCCTCCCCCGCGGCCCGGCCCGCCTCACCTTGACCAGGTGCTGCAGGGCGGGTTTCACGGCGGCCATCAGGCTGTCCTGGGCCCACCGCTTCGAAACAGACGGCCTGTCCGCCGGCCGGGGCGGCCGTGAGGTGAGCGCCCACCTCCGCCATCGCACCGCCCGCGCCCGCCCCGCCGCCGGGGAGCCGCCGCGCCGCGCCCTACACACGGGCAGCCGCTCCGCCCCGCCCCCCGGCAGCCGCGAGCGGTCTGCGCTCCGCCCGCTCTATGGTGGGGGGGCGCGGCCGCTCTGGGCGTGAGGGTTTGATCTGCGCTGTCGCGAGTCCGCCCGGCCCCCGCCGCTTCCCGGTTCCGCCACCGCCCCCGCAGCGGTGAGTCCGGTCCGGTGAGTGGGGCCGGGAACTGGGTATGGGACTGGGGACGGACTGGAAGGGGGCCGGGAGGGGCACTGGGAGGGGGCACTGAGAGGGGGACTGGGATACGGTTGGGGAGGGCAACTGGGGGGTGGCGCTGGGCAGGGGATCGCTGGAGGAGGCGAAGAGCACTGGTAGGATACTGGATAGGATGGGGGAGGAGCACTGGTGGAGTATTGGTGGGATGCCTGGGGGGGATACTGGGATAGGGGGACGGGGAGAGGGTGGGAGGGGATACTGGGAGAGGTGGAACGGGAGAGGTGCCTGGAGGGGCACTGGGAGGAGGTCAGCAGGGTCGCTGGGAGGGGATACTGGTGGGGGTGAGGGGCACTGGGTGAGGCCCCAGTGGGGTTGCCTGGAGGGCACTGGGAGAAGTGAGGGCACTGGTGGGGTGGTGGGAGGCGCGGACTGGGATAGGAGTGGGGGGGCCTCTGGTGGAAGTCTTGGGAGGAGATACTGGGAGGAGGTGAAAGACACTGATGAAGTACTGGGAGGGGAGACTGGGACAGGGTGGGAAGGGGCACTGGAGGACGCTGGCAGGTGATACTGGGTGGAGGTGAGGGGCACTGGTGGAGCATTGGGAGGAGCTGGGAGGGGGGACTGGAACAGGACGTGGAGGTTGCTGGTGAGGCACTGGGAGGGGCACAGTTGATGTACTGGGAGAGGATGGGGGGGGTCACTGGGAGGAATGGGCAGGTGAGTGCAGAGGTACTGGGAGGAGGCACAGGGCTGGGGGTGGTGGGACTGGGGAAGGGAAGTCGGGTGGGAATGAACACAGCAAGCTACTGGGACACTGGTGAGGCCAGGCAGGGAGGAGGGCTGGAGTGCTGAGAGGGACTGGGCAGGCACTGCTGGGGCTGGGAATGCTGGGGAGGGAAGCTGGGATTGGTGGGGAATACTCCTGCGACTGTGGAATTCTGGGGAGATCCATGGAACGCTGCTGAGAGGGAAGGGCTGGTGGACAGGGGCTTAGGGGGGGTATTGGGGTACCAGAGGGGAGTGTGGAGGGGGTGCTGTGAGTCCTACTGGAGGTGTGGGGATGGCAGCAGAGCTGGGAGGGGGGTTCCAGGGAGTTGGGAGGTGACAGGAGGCAGAGGGCGTTTGAGAGTGGAGGGGGGAGCACCACGAATTCCCTGCCCCAGCACAAGGTGCAGGTTTCTGGAGCCTCAGCACTGCTCTGCCTCTGCCATCCATGTTCCATTGTCCTGTTTATTTTCCTGGTGTTCCAGTGGTTCTGGGCCACTCTTGGGCTGTCATGTGGCTCCTTGAGAGGCTTTTCAGGGGAAATGGGTGGCACCGCTTAACACTGGAGTTAAACCAGGGATCATTGTAGAGATTTGGGGGTGCAACAGTGGATTGTTTCAATGCCAGGGAGCTTGGATCTATCCCAAAGCCTTAAACCTGCCTCCTCCCTGTGTGGAATGAGTGGTGGGGAGCTGATCAGGCTGTTGTTGGAGCCACATGTGGGGTAAAGCAGGTGTTGGTCAGACACAGGATCCAGTTTTTTGTGTAGTTTTGGGCTGAGGAGGTTTATCTTACTGGCTGTGATGGTTCCTTAGACCTTTCACTTAATCATGGTTTTGGTTCAATCTGCATTTAAATGTCAATAAGTAGCATTAAGAACTGCTGGACATTTCTGGAGCAATTCCTGTATTTAATGTCTTCTAGTTTGCTGGGGTTGGATCAGGAGCCTTTTGCTGTCAGCTTTGAACACCTCTTACCTGTTTCCACCTTAGCAAGGGCTGGACACAAACAATAGTAAGGAGGGGGTAACCTGCTGTGGATTTTCTTCTAAAAATACAAGGTTGTTCATGATGCTGTCATAATTTATCTTGGCTCCCTGCAGTTTAGATTTGTGTCCAGGAAGCTGGCATTTTCTGGAGGGATACAAACAGCAGTGTTTTAAATATCTGGGCTGTTTTGCTTTCATTTGCTGCAAACCATGCTGAGGTTGTTAGTGATGAGATAATGCTCAGTGCTGCTGGCAAGCTGTCTGTGAGCAATGTGCAAAGCAAGCCCTGACATACATGGAGCAAAAATGTGTGTGCTCAGGAGAAAAAGGCTTTATCCTGTGATGCACTTGGAATAGGGTGGTTTGGTTGTTGACCTAAGTCAGTTCTCATTTACAGCCTGTCAAAGCAGGTTGTAAAGATTGGGCTGTGCTTGGCCCTGTCTGAGTGTTTCTAGGATTCTTCATGTTCCCAAGTATGTGATCTGAAGGGAGGAAAAACAGCAAAATGTCCTGCTTTAGGGATTTAATGATCATCCCTGAAATTCAGCGAGGTCCCTCCCTCTGTGTGTGGGGCTTTATGCAACTGGGATAATGGTTATGGTGGTTTGGGTTTTTTTCTCCTCGATTTGCTCTCTAATCTGCTGCTCTGGCCCCAGTTAAAGCTGTATTAGAGTAGCTCAGCTGGGAGATATGACCCTGGCAGACAAATCCACATATAATGCAAACAAAGAACATTGAGGCCACGTTCAATGCCTTTTGCATGGCACTGTGCCAAGTGCTCTCATAGAGAAAAACATTTAAGTCATCTTTTAAGCTGGGCTCAAACCCGAAGGACTGTGCCACAGTAACATTGCAGCTGAACACAGGGTCTGGTTTTAATTACAGAACAGTCCCACAGCAGCCTCTGCTTTCGGGGGGGGCTGTGATATTTTTGCTGGAAAAATTTGCAGTGCTGTGGCTCGAGTGGTTTTCCCAACCCAGCCTCTGTTTTGGAAGGAGGTTAAACCTCCTCTGCAGGAGGAACGTGCTTCCAGAGCTGCCCCCAGGCATAGTTTGCTCTCCAGCTTGGAGCAGAAAGGGAGAGAAATCAAACCCAAACGCAGTAATTCTGCCTAATTAGGATGTGGCTGTAACCACAGGGCAAGCAGGAGCTCCAGGGAACTGGGAAGAGCAACAGGTTGTTCCTTATCCTGTTGTTTGGCAGTTGGGCAGGGTGATCCCAGCAGTGCCATGTGGGGCACAGAGAAGGAGGTGGGAATTGGGGAATTACCCCCGAGCTGCTGCTGGGAATTCAACTGCCAAGGTGTTAAACTGCTCGGGGTGGATGGGGGCAAAGGAATGGTCATGGGGTTGGGGTTGGTTAAGGGATGAGGAAGGAAAGTGTTAAGGAACACCCAGCTGGTTGCACTGCTGGGCAGAGTCTTGGAGTTCAGAGCTGTGCTGGTCCTTTTGTTGCTGAGCCAGCAAGACCTGCAGGGTTTAAAGGCAAGACAGGCAGCATTTAGGGAACAGATGACTTAGTGCTTTGCTAGCAGCGTTTAAAGTCATGGAAGGATGTGTAAGAAAAGGAGAATTGGGGGAAAAAATAGAAAAAGGAGGTAAGAGATGGAAAAAAGCCTTTTTTGAGGTGGTTTTAGGGTCATATTTCCTAGTGCTGATACAGACTGTTTCATCAAGAGCAGTCAAACTGCCCACTCCTCTGCTTGTTTTTCAGCCAGTACTTGAAAATTCTTTGAGTCATGTTTGTCACAGAGCTGGCATTTATCAGAATAAAATGATGGATATCCACATACCTCTGGGCAATCTCTGTATTCTAAGGCATTAATAATTTAGTGGAGCAAGAGAAGTGCTGGTGAGACCATTCTGCTGGCTCTGCTGAGCACTTTGCTGGCCCGACAGCATTTTTTGGTCCTGCCCACAAAACAAGCAGTGCAGCACTGAAATAATAAGCTTGTGTGTGTCTCAGAGGTGGGGTGTTGGATCTTGACAGAGAAAGATTTCGATTTCAAGCTTGAGAGAACTGAAAAGTAATGGCTGTTCTTTAAAAAAAAAACAACAAACAAAACCCCAAAGAAAACAAACCCACAACTGCTTTGCATCTTCTGGGAACAAAAGGAGGGAAAGAAATGAAAGGCCTGGGGGTGGGTGTTGCAAGTGGGGTTAATTGTGCCTTCCAGGAAGATGCAGCACAGGGAAATATCGTTAGGGGGAGATGACAGTTTCCTTTGTCTGAAACGTGGAGTTCTCCCTGCCAGGCGAGATATTAAATGTGCTTTTTCTTGGAAAATGGAATAGCATACCCAGGAAAGGCAGAGCTGCAGAACACACCAGGATCTGCTGATTGTAAGGAGTTACAAAACTCCCTTTTCCCTTCTGAGACTGGGAATTTGGAAAGCTTTCCCAGCCCATCCACCACAGGCTGTTGTATTTTCACCAGCACTGAGCCCTTTAAATCCCTGGGTTTGCCAGGAAATTCCAGCAGCAGGTGCAGGATGAAGATTGGGAAACTTGTGCCTGTGGATGTGAAGCGTTTGCTTCTTCCCTCACCCTCACCAGCCATCCTCCCTGCGAGTCCCTGCCTCCCAAACTGGGTGTTGCCATCTCACAGCTCTGGGAGCTGACTTGTTCTTTTTTTTATTATTGTCATTCTCAGGTGTTTTGAGGACCTGGAACCATGACGGACTCCAAATACTTCACGACCAATAAAAAAGGTTGGTGTTCAGCTGGTGCAGTGGATTGGAGGTGGTGGGTGGCTATTTTTACACAGGTTTTTTTAACTGCATGCAGAAGGACTTGTGCTTTTCTGGTAGCTCTGTCCCTGTTTCTCTTCTTAATCATCCAGGGAGAAACTTCCAAAGTAGGTCACATGGTGACAAAAGACAAAACTGGTGTGTTGTACGGTTTTATGAGGCACAAAACGACCCAAATTGCTACTTTTTTAAGGATCAGAGAGCAAAATATTGGGGTTTGAGTGCAGATCTGGTCAGAGACAAAGTTTTAGCTACGGGCTAACAACTTCCAGACTGAGGATGGTTGTTCTTTTGGGCATCACAGGATTAAATTGATTGAGAGGCATTTAATATTTTGGGTATAAGGGTACTCTACATCAAGTGAAGATAACGGGTTTTCCTACTGCCATTCCCTCCAAAGCTGCACTGCTCTGTGTGACTTTCCTGTGACTTTACTGCAGGTGTGGTGGTCACCTCACCTCAGGACAAACTTCTGCCCTTAAAAATGGGAAGCCTGGAAAACATCTTTGAGGACACTTTATCCATTCAGATGCTCCAGAGCTGGGCTTGTTCTGCTGAGACTGTCCCAGACAAATTTTATTTTCTAACCTGTTCTTAAACAAAACACTGTCTCTGAGTGCAGTTTGAGCCTGATGTCGCTCATCCCTCTCCAGTAGATATGGAGAATGGTTTGCATTAACCTCTGCTTTTTAAAATGTCTGGGTGCTTCTGGGGGGGAATGCTTGCCAGGGAAAAACCTACACTGTTGCTCTATTTATGTTTCATTAAGCTTCAGAATGAGCTCATAAATAAAGCTAATGCAGTCGACATCTTTCTAAGGCACAACTGTCTGTAAATTCAGTCCTAAAGGCAGGTTTTTCTGGGGTAGCTGCAGGAAGTCTGCCTGCATAGTCTGGGCTCTGGTGAGCTCTGCTGCTGGCTCAGCTCTGCTCCAGGGCATGAGCTCTGGGTGAGTAATGCCAGTGTCTCTCCCTCAGGCAGGAGGGATGACAAGTGGTCCCTCCACTGCATCCTGCAGAACAGCCACTGCTCTTCCCTTCTGAAGTGCCTGGTAGCCCTTTGTGTCAGGCTCTTCAGCAATTACTGCTGCTGCTCTGGCAGAGTGGCACTGGTGTGTAGGAATTGAAAGTTGGGGCTGGAATGTATTTTTTCAGAAATATTTTGATATTTGTAATGTGTCCTCAGCCTGTGGCTTCCACTGGGAATACAGTTGGCTGTCCTTCCTGGGGAAAGCTGTCTGTCAGCTGGGAGCATTATCCTTCTCAGAGCACTTGCTCTGTCTGGAACAGGCCTGATAAACAGTCTTTTGCACATGTTGCTTTATTTTATAAACTTGTTTTGCCAATTTGGTGACCCAGCCTGAACTGACTTTCCATGCAGTAACCTCAGGAAGAATTAGTGTTGTGGAAAAGGCTGCTTTGGCAACCTTAGAATCCAGACAAGCTGTGTTACATGCAGCTTTTGTTAGGAGTAGCTCTTTCTAGCTTGAAAAGAATTTATTCCACTGGACTGAATAGATGCTTTCCTGTTTCAGCCACAGCATGTGGGCTCCACTCCAGTTTTCCCAGGAAGCAGGCAATGATGAGCAAAAAAAGTTAAAAAGTCTGGGCAAAATTCCTGGCTTAGTTTTTTTTTTTTCTTGCAGGCACGAATCTGGCATCTCCAAATAACTTTTCATCCTGGTTACATAATAGTTGCCTCTGAGAAACAGATGCCCCAGGGATGTGATTTGGTGTTCTGGAAGTGGGAGAGCTGCAACATGCACGTTCTTGTTAACAGCTTTTCCCTCAGCAAGGTGTAGCCCCTGTCATTCCCTGGAGTGTTGCAGCTTTGCTTCTTATGTTGTCCATAAGGTCTGACAGGTTCCTCGTGCTGCTGCACCAGTTTTATGGGGAAAACAGGCTGGGAAAGTAAAAATTCACTCTTGAACTATCCCTATAGTGAGATCCTTTTCTTCTCCCAAGAGGCTCAATTTGTTTTGTCTTCTGCCAGGGGAGATTTTTGAACTGAAGGCTGAACTCAATAATGAAAAGAAAGAGAAGAGGAAAGAAGCTGTAAAGAAGGTTATTGCAGCCATGACTGTGGGGAAGGATGTCAGGTAAAAGCAACTTGTATCTTGGCAGCTCTGGTTGTCCTGGGACTCTGTCAGGTATAGTGATACACATGTCCATGGAACAGCTCTGAGTTTGGCATCTTGGTGAGGCTGGATGTGTCCTTGCCTGTGCTGTGCCTGTCACAGATTTCTCCAGCTCCTTCCTGTTACTGAGAGCAAAACAAACAACTGTTTTCCCTGCTGGTTTAGCCCAGTGCCAATAGCCCTTTTTGTTTAAACCCATCCAGAACTCAACCAATTTGTATGTTGACTTTAGGTGATGTTTTCTCCCTGCTTGCTATCCTGGGTTTCACTGTTACAAAGGCAATTCCACTTGTTTTACTCAGCCTTACTTGCCACAGCACAGATTTGAGCTACGTTTTAAAAACGAGCGATTTTTAAATTGAACCTGTGTCTCAAAGGGCACCAGCATTTACCTTCTCCAGCACTATCCCCAGCACACTTTTCTGTCTTTGAGACAACCAGAAAAACCTGCTGGAGTGAATGCTTTCTCCCTCCAGCTTCTCCTGTTACTGGAGCCTACCAGAAAGTCCCAGCAGCCCTGGATCCGTGGCAGCAGCGTGGTCTGTTGCCACGGAAATCAGGATAAGGTTGCAAATTTAGCATCGTGATTTCATCGTAGAATGAAGGAACATGTAAACTGGAAGGAAAAAAAACTGATCTTTTTTTTTTTGCCAACAGCACTTACCCTTCACCTTTAGATCCCTACAGCTTTACCTGGGAGCTGCAGAGATCCTTGTGTAACATCCTCGTGTTCTTCTGCAGTGCTGTTTACAGATTGCTGCTTGACATTTGAGTGAAACCCAGCTTGTCAGTGTTTAAGCTCCTAGAATTCACTAGTCTGAAATCTGGCAGGTTCTTTATAAGTGTCCTGCATGACCAAAACATTTTTAAGCAACATTTTTTTTCTCTTGTGGGTTCACCCCCAGGCCTGGCACGGTAGAATTTTCTTGTTTGGTGAACTCCCCATTTAAAACACATTTAGGAAATTGCATTAGTTTTCACCTCTTCCAGAACTGACCTATGTTAGAGCCCTAGAAGAGATTAAATGATTATAATAAAAACCATTGCAAACTGTTTTGGGAAGGAAGGTGACCTTTTGTTGGACAGCAGGGTGCTTAAAGTGGAACTCCAGTTTTTCTGGCTTCCTTGATATTGTTACTATCCCTTTTGCCTGCTGTGAATTCTTGCTTTTTCTCTTGTGTATGGGAGTGTTGATGTGCTGGAGGGCTGGAAGGCTGTGCAGAGGGATCTGGACAGGTTGGATGGATGGGCTGAGGCCATCCCATGGAACACTCCAGCCTTGGGGCAGAGCAGCTGGAAAGCTGGAAAAGTACCTGGACCTGCTGGTTGACAGTGGCTGAGCATGAGCCCAAGGTGTGCCCAGGTAGCCAAGAAGGCCCATGGCACTTGGCCTGTAACAAAAATAGTGTGGCCAGGCAGGACCAGGATCGTTCCCTGTGCTGGGCACTGGTGAGGCACCTCAAATTCTGTGTCCAGTCTCATGACAAGAAAGACATTGAGGGGCTGGAGCATGTCCAGGGATGAGCAGCAGGGCTGGGGAAGGGTCTGGAGCACCAGGAGCAGCTGAGGAAGCTGAGGGGCTCAGCCTGGAGAAAAGGAGGGTCAGGGGAGACCTTCTTGCTCTCTTCAGCTCCCCGACAGGAGGTTGTGGTGAGATGGGGTCAGTCTGTTCTCCCAGATAGGACAAGAGGAAACAGCCTCAAGTTGTGCCAGGAAGGTTTATATTGCATTTTAATAACCTTCCCTGGGCAGTGGTGAGTCACCATCCCTGGAAGAGATTTAAAAATCATGTAGATTTGGCACCTGGGGACAGGGTTTAGTGGTGGGTTTGGCAGTGCTGGGTTAACAGCTGAACTTAAAGGTCTTTTCTAACCTGAGCAATTGTGTGATTGTATTTTTGCTTATTCCTGTGTTGTCTGTCCAGCTCACTCTTTCCTGATGTTGTGAACTGCATGCAGACTGACAACCTGGAGCTGAAGAAGCTGGTCTACCTGTACCTGATGAACTATGCCAAAAGTCAGCCAGACATGGCCATCATGGCTGTCAACAGCTTTGTGAAGGTAACCTGCTCCCAGGGCTCACCAGAAAATGGCCCAGCACAGTGGCTGCCAGCACATCTCCTTTGCCCATTAGCCTTTGGGAGCTGTTTATCTCTGCTTTTGGTCTCAGCCTCTGGGCTGGGCTCGTGCTGAGTCCCAGTAGTTCTGGCTCCTTTCCCTCACTTGCTACTGTCACTGCAGAGATGACTTAAGCACCCCTGTAAGTGGTTATGGGGGAGCCTGCTCCAGGGAAAGCTGCTTTTATTGTTTTCCCAACTTCTGGTGTTGGCTAACAGATTTTATCTGTTTCATCTCCCAGCCATTGTAGTATCTCTGATGTGTAGATATCTGCTTCCTGTTTGAATGTTCCAGCTGAGTGGAAAACCTTTATCTGTGGTGAAACCAAAAGACAGTTCAGTGCAAAAATAACAGCCTGATTGCTGTGTTACCTTTAGTTCTGTCATCAAGTTGCCACTCCTTATCAAGAAAATGTTATTTCACGTTGTGCAAGATGAAACCCAGTGCTTAGAAGAAGTTTGAAACTCCTTGTAGAGTATTATAAAATCTGAGATACTGGGAAATGGCATTGAGTTCCAATTTTGTGTCGTGGTTCTTGAGGCAGAAAGAGGGGAGAGCAGGCTGAGAGCAGGTCAGTTCTCCTCAGAGAAGTGTGTCCCTGTCTTCCTGTCTAGACAGAATATTGGTGTCTGTTTTTGTGTAATTCTGTTAGAATGGGCTCAAACAAAATTATATTTTCCATCTTCATGCTTAATGATATTTTCCATCTTCATGCTTTTCCCTGCAAGGAAATGTCTGGTGTCCCTTTTGGCAAGTTGAGGGACAAGTGTTTGTAAAGAGCAAGTGTTGACACTGGTCTGCACTAACTCAGCACTTCACACCCAGTTCACACTTCAAGGTGTGGAATGCACTGGTAAGAGGTGTCACTTCTCCTGTAATGCTTTAAAAGTGTTTTATCAGCTGTAGGAAATCTAAACAGCGAAAGGTAAATGGACCTTATGCTTTTGTAGGCTGTTCTGCAGCCATCCTTTTATAGGCTGATTTTAGGGGAGCTCAGAGATGTGGATGGTTTGGATGTGTTGAAAATTCTGTAGTCTTGAAGTATGAAGTGCTGTGTTCTTGTCTGCTTTTGCTTTTTCCTCTTCAGAAAAGCACCTCTAGACCAGCCTTTGCTTAGTGCTTCATCTGTTACAAACTTAAGGGATGCACAGGCCTTGATGGCTGTTGCACTGTGTTTAGTTGTTGACTTTTCCCATTATATCTCTGGCTTCTTTAAGCCAGTAAGGCTGGAAGTCAGTGTATTTTTTTTGTCTGAGGGTTGCCTGTGATTTTGGGTGGTGAGAGCTGCCTCTCTGGCTTAGCTGTAGCTGCTGGATCATGTTGAAAGAAGCTTTTCCTGGGAGAACAAAGGGACACCAAGATCACAATTTTACGAGCTATCACAGCCTGAAAACATCTCGAGATAGCATAAAATGTTTCTGTGAACCAGCCAGTGCCACCTTTTAACCCCGATCCGAAATAATTGCCTGGTTTTTAGCGTGTCATCAGAGAGAACGCTTCCTGAGCAAGAACAGCCTGACTCTGGCTGCAGGGAAGGCATCAGTGGGTGGTGGTGCAGGTTTGTTTACTGGGTATCCTGTCCCCTTGCAGGACTGTGAGGACCCAAACCCTCTGATCCGTGCCCTGGCCGTGCGCACCATGGGGTGCATCAGGGTGGATAAAATCACGGAGTACCTGTGCGAGCCCCTCCGCAAGTGTCTGAAGGATGAGGACCCCTATGTCAGGAAGACTGCAGCTGTCTGTGTGGCAAAGCTGCACGACATCAATGCCCAGATGGTGGAGGACCAAGGATTCCTGGATTCTCTGCGTGACCTGATTGCAGACTCCAATCCCATGGTAACTATTCCCAGCGCTCTGCTCGAGTGTCTGATGGGCAGATGATCAGAAATGTGAAGGGTCTTTAATTGCAACTGCTGCACTGTGATGAATGGGTTGGTTAGAGAGCAGTTGTTGCTTCAGAAAACAGTGTGACAAACAAAGTCTCGAGTTTCTATAAGTTTCAAATAATAGTTTATTATATGGTAAAAGCAAGCAGCCCAGCTGGGTGACAGAAATGGGACCAGTTTCCCAAATCTGCACACACCTGCTACAGGGTACATTTAGTATTTATCTTAGCTACTTCATGCATATTAATTATATCATATACATATGCATTCTACAGGTTTTTGCTAAGTATTTAATAAATGGGTTTTCTTGCAGCTAAAGCTAAAAGGGTTATCTCTACAACCAGTCATAATTCATGCATTCTTGGACAAACAGGTGCCTAAAGTTTTAAAGTTCTACTATATTTTATTCTTAGGATAGTAAGGAGGTTTTAGGCCTCTTGACCTTGTAAGGGCCTGTTTTATTTCTTTATGGGGGTGTAATTAAGTTTTACAATCCGTTTGTTTTATTTTGATATAATCACCCATTTGTTTCACAAATCACAATTATTTATATATCACAACAGGAAATACCTTCTGTTGTTAGATCTGTTTGGGCTTTTGCCTGTTTTGCCTGTCTTGAGTGCTGCAGCAAAAGTGTAACTTCCTGGTCAGGTGAGTCAGAGCAGCAAGAAATATTTGATGCTGCTTCCTCAGTGACAGCTTGTAGTAACTGCTTTCCTGCAGGCTTTGGCTCTTCTTGGAATAAGAGGTTGGATGAATTCATTCACTAATGCAGATAAATCCACTGGCTTGTAATGAGTGGAGAAAATCAATGCTAATGTTTTTAATAAAGTTAAATGAGTCGTCAGAGCAGAGGTGGAGATCAGGACCAAGAATTTCACAGGAGTAAATTACCTACTAAATCAGCATTTAATCATGGTTGATGAAGGGTCCATTTCCAAGCCAGGCATGTTCTGCTATTATTTTGTAACTGAAAGGTGGTGGCCAATGGATTGAACTGTCCCACTGCATAATCCTTTCATTCAATATTGTTTGCTGTTACCTACTGGAATCCAGTGAGCATATCCATATATATCATCCTAACTGCAGCTCAGTGTAACTCAGACTTTAAGGATGTGACCACTACTTTTTTAGCTCTTTTAGAGCACAGATCTGATTTGACTCTGCTTAAAGACATAATTGCACATTAGGGCTTGTCTGACAGCTCTTTCCATGGTGCATGTAAAGCAAATTGCTTTTGTAGCTGTCTTGGGCAGGTTAGATAAACCAAGTGCAGGTGGTGAGGTGCCATCCTCTTTAGGAGGAGAGTGAAGGCTGCTGATTGCTCTTTGTAAGACTTTCTAGAGACAGTAAAAGTAGAGATGTCTGACTTTCACAGGCACCAGTCTGAGCAGAGATGTCTGTCAGGAGACACACCTATTGCCTCTGATATCCAGCTCTTTTACAAGCTGTTCTTTTTATCTGCCTCCCTGATTTTTTTTCTTGTGCCAGGTTTCTGTATGAATATTGATGACTCCTTGAAGATGCTCTCTCTGTCGAGGCAACTTTGAGTCACACAGAGGAACACCTGCTGGGTTAATTCCATGTGGGAGAGTGTGTGCCTTGCAGCCTCTGAAAGAACTTCCTTGGGTTGCTTTAGTTCCACTTAAATGCTGGCCCTGGCATTCACCAGCTCACAGGCAGCAATGGAATGTGCTCTGGACAGGGATAGAACTTCCTCTTCTCCTAGCCTGGGTTCCAGCTCTGATTTTCTTCTGGTCACAGCCACATGGATGTGCTACTTCAGAATTAATAAGGGGTTTTTTTCCCTTTCTGCTCGTTGATCTCAGTGGAACTCACAGGTTTGGTAAATGGACCCTTGGCTGACAGGAGAGCACCGATATGCTTTTAACTTAAATACTGACTTAATGAAGAAAAGAGGAAAAACACCAAAGGGCAGTGCATGCTCCATTTGCTAAATAAACCTCCAAAAGTAGCACTGGGAGTCCCAATAAACCATCAGCACAACTAATGAGCTCCTTGGTGGTAACGAGGGTGGGCTGAGGCAGCAGAACCTTTGCAGCTGCTGGAGCTGTGCAGGATCCCAGTACCTGCCTCATGTTGCACTCACCTTGCTCTTCCCAAAACTGAGGATGCACAGCAGGACAAAGCAGTTTGGAGGAGTGATAGTGATGGAGAGGCCTGTGGTGTGTGGCTTTGAGAGGATCATGTAGCTGGTGTTCTGTGTACTGGTTTCCCAGGTTTCACTGTGGATGGAGCATTGTATTTTTGATTCCTGAGGGTGCACGGGGAGAGATTTTTATCAAAGGTTTGAGGCTCTTATAGCTGCTGATTTAATACAATATTTAATCTGGTTACAAAGTAGAAAAAGACATTCCTTCTAGTTAAGTTTATTCCTTTGGTCCCCTTTGAAATTCATGCCTTTGTGGCATACTGATTTTGTCAAAAGTACAGGAACTATCCAGCTCCAATTAAGGTTCATCTTCCCTGTCAAACCATCCATCTCATTGCTGCTTTCTCCATGTGAAACTCCAGTGGGGTTCCAGATGACCAGGAAAAGTGTTTGCCAGATAAATTATATTTGTGTGTGAGTTGATGTTTGTTAAGCTGTTTTTCCTTGATCAGATGGAATGCAGCCCCTACCTGGGAGCTCTTTTTAAGTAAAATCTTTGTGTCAGTATTGGCTATCAAAAGAAGGATTGCTGGAAAAATGGTACTGAGGGATCAATCCTTATGGCCTATTCCTCTGTAAATGGTGCATCTCAATCATTGGAACCTGTTATCTAAGCTCATTCATATTTATATTATAAATGTTTCTCCTCTCTCGATGGCTTGTGGAAATGGGCAGCATTAAACACTTAATGAAGCAGAATTTTTTAGATGGGAAATCCACACTTGTTCTCTCTTCTGAGAAATGAGGATGTTGAGCAGGAGCTAAAAAGGGCTGCAGTTGAAAAACAGTCTCCAAGAAGGGTTTTATTATGGTTTTGTAATTGGTTGCCTCTAGGACATGAGCAAGCACTAAGCATTCTAGCTGGGTGCTTGGTAAAGTAACATCTCCATCTGTGGCTTGCTAATTGCCTTATAATTATGCAGAGATCAGGGTGCATATTTCTGTTGGCTCAGATCCCCTTCGTCCTAACGATGTCTGACTAAGTTGGGAGGTGACCTTGTCAGAAACATTTTGTTGTTTTGGGGGTTTTATTCTATGGTTTTTTGACTACTGGCATGACTGTGTTAATAAGGTAACAGACTGGGGATGTTCAGGGCACTGAAGTCCTGTGGAGGTGCTGCAGGTCCACAGGCAAGGTGTTTGCCCCCTTTATCTGGGCTTTTTGTTGTCAGGATGTGGCCTTAGTTCACACTCAGTGATCTTCTGAGCAGCTGCAGTGTTGCACCCTTCCAGGTGAGCTGGCTGTAGTTGAGATTAAAGGCCTGACACCTCAGTCTGGTAGTTCACTAGCTATTTCTGAAAAAAAATCTCTGTATGGCTTTGCAGCTTCTGCTGGGTGAAATAATTTAAACCTCTAATTGCATATATAGTGATGTGGGTATGTATGGCAAGGTACCAGCTGGGCTGGTGACTTGTGACATGTCAGCAGTTCCTGGACATGTATTGCCTTGTGCAGGCACTGGGCCAATAACCCCTGCAAGGGCACAGTTCAGTTGCACTGCAGAAGTTTGATTGTGGCAGGAGTCTCTAATCTCGTTTTACAGATGGGTCTGAAGTGCTGTGGCTGCCCTTTGTCACCTGGGATCCTGCCAAAGAGGATCCTTCCCTAGAGGGAGCCCTCACTCCTTCCCAGGGCTGTCTTAAGGCAAACCCTTCTCTTTTGCTCTTCATTTCCTTGCAAGAAAAGCAAAAGTAGGTCTGGAGGAATGTAATGCTGGGGCCTGGCTGCTTTGGGCTGCTGGACCTGCTCAGTCCTCAGTGCCTTTCTCACTGGTGACTTGGGCATAGTGCCACTCAGAAGCCACTGAATGGCTTCCATAATCCATGTACTCCAACCAAAATGCAATTCCAAAATGACATCCCAGGGATTTTGTGTATTCCAGGTCGCTGCAGAACACTGTTCACACCCAGCAGCAGCAGTAGATAATAGATGGGTGAGAGAGGTAGGTTTGTTACACACCTGCTGATGACCAGAGACTCTCTGAAGTCTTGGGAAACCCTTTTTTTTTTTTCCTTTTTCCTGATTCTGTCTTGTTCTGGCATTTTTGGACGAGACCCAGTGACTGTTTGTGGTTGGAAGTGCTGAGCCCAGGTGAGGGAGAGCAGACCACGAGATGGCAGCAGCTTAAAGCAGAACCAAAGCTGAATGCCCTTAGACACCTCATTTTGTAACTAGTTCCCTCCTGGCTTTTATCCCAGCACTTGGTTTTCTTCAAGAATGTAAATATTAGCAGACAAACATAAGAAGAAATCCATCTTAAACCTTACTGGTCTTCTAATATTTGCATGGAACAACCTTTCTGTCCAAGTATTTTCAATCCTTGACCTTCCAAGGTAACTCTTAACCCATGGAATAGTTTTCTTATATCAGTCTGTCTTTTATCCACATGGCTTAAGTTGATGCCACCTTCTCCCTTTTATTTTCTAGGTGCTGTTCAGTGTTTAACTCCTTTCCTGTAGCATTTCTTCTTCCTCACATTCTGCTTTGTCACTGTGGTGTGCTGGATCAGGGCTTTTTCAGGTGTGGCTGTTCTGCTCCTGTGTTCTTGTTGGCTGTACAGATGTAGCACTTCTGTGCTGTCCAACAGAATGTCTTGTTTTACACAAGAATGATTGTTTTACACCATCTACACATCCCAGTTTATTGGGAGAAACATTGTTGTGAATCAACGTGGAGTAAACTGAGATCACATAAGTAAATGCACCAAGTGTATGGAGATCATTAAACTCTGTTGTGCCTGGGATGATTTTTGCCTTTAGCATTAACCAGTCTAGGA